GCAGAATCAAAAGTTCTGTGGTGTCTGCTTAGGTGTGAAACATACAGGTGCAAACCTAGATGCTACAAAAAAATTGTAACCTAGACACAAATACTACTAATTAGATACGACATTGGGATTTACTTGATAGGCTTTCGTTATCTTTTCCCCAGAGCTCTGAAGAACTGCAGCTTTCAATGGCCCACATCAAGCAAATTATTGGGATTTTAAGGGACTTCATACACTCTCCTGAGCACAGAGTGATGGCTTCTACCATATCCAAATTGAAAATGGATCTGGATTTTGACAGCACTTCCATCAATCAGATTCATCTGGTGCTGTTTGGATTTCAGGATGCGGTGAGTTCCTTGCCTGGCTCAGAAGGAGAGGAATTCTTCTTGGACAGACCTTTCAGTGCAAGGGCTTGTTGCCTCCCACTCTTCCTCACCTCACCCCCTGTTCCTGTTCTTGCTGAACAGCCATCAGAAAAGCTGCAGAGGGGCACATGGAGCTGAAGCCCTAATGGGTTGTAGCCTCAGCTTCAGTGACATGGGTGCTCCCATCCTGGCCATGAAGCTGAGCAGGGCTGAAGGGCTGCCTATGGGCTACCAGCAAGCTCTAAAGTTTGCTCTGCATCCTGCATTTGCTTTCTATTCACCTCCCATTGTATGGTACAGGGACATGAATGTCACGGTCTGGTTTGAGAGCTCTAGACTAAAACTGTCAAATTAGTTGTTTAGCCTTTCAAAAGTTGGGAGGGCTTTGGTGATTCTTACACTGAAAACTTCAACTTATTATTGAAAAACAAGATTTTGTTTCCTAAGATGCAAGTAAATATTGTTTGTTGCAACTTACTTTTACTTGCTCATATATCTGCAGGTTAACAAAGTGTTAAGAAATCATTTAATAAGGCCCCACTGGATGTTTGCAATGGATAATATAATTCGCCGTGCAGTCCAAGCAGCAGTCACCATTCTTATTCCAGGTAAAACAATCCAGTTGTTAACAAACTAACAGGAAAAGCTGATTGTGCATTTGTGTAGCAAATAGAACAGGCTTCAGTGTACTCCACCAGCATGTCATTACCCACATCCCCTGTGCTACTACATCAAAGGTATGGGATCAGAAAGAAGCATCGATTGTGAGGATTAATGCCACAGTTGCAGTACCAAAGCACACAATGGGTACCAGTGGTTCTACATCACCAGTCTGGTCCAAAGATGAAGCTTAGTCCAAGCTGGACCATTTGTAGTCGGAAAGAAAATGACTTTATACATTTGAATAGACATTTAGATAATATCCAAATGGTCAGTGTTGCTTGTCTGGTCTGGTTATGTGTTCTGGCAAATGACTGCTCAGCTCTGGAACTGGTGCAGTGGCAGTGCATTTACATGAGGAGAAATAGTCTTGGTCTATAGATGGGTAGGTAGTGGGAACAAGCGCCACCATCACCAAAAGGGAGGAGGTTAAAAGATGGTGGCCTGTCCAGGAGTAAGGCTTATCTGGAACTCCGAGCAGTTTTGTAACTCTGAAGTGCCAAACACCATTTCCAGTATGAGAATGTTCTGAACTTACTGATAGTGAGCCCTTTCAGTCCAAATGTGCTGTGGCACTCCTTTTAGCACTGATGTTGTAACATCCATGGTCCAGCTAATAAGGCTTTCCCTAGTCCTTTGTGCATCATGAAACAAGGCCTCAGCCTGAGCTGAGGCTCCTTCACCTGCAGTAGCAAAGAGCAAACTGCACTACCCCATGGAGATAAACCAGTCCAAATAAAATCTTACGATGTTTTGTTTTATCAGAACTTCGTGCTCACTTTGAGCCAGCATCAGAAACTGAGGGTGGCGACAAAGATTGCGATGAAGTGGAAGAGAGTTTCCGGCCCTCTGAACAAAATGGGATAGAGGATGCTGCTGTCACATCAGGAGTTAGCACCCTCAGTTCCGCGGTGTCACACGAGGCTCAGCAGCAGCTTAGCCTGGAATTGGGCAGACTAAAACAAGAGACCATAAGGTAACCCGTACACAACCATACACAAACACTATGTGTTTATTTCTAGGGCCTTTAAAAAGCTCTCAGACATGCTTCCTGCACTGACATGTACCTACCTGGTGACAAAGCACACCTGACAGCAACACAAATGGATTCAGAGGGTTCTGGCAGCACCACTATGACAACTCAACAGCTTTCAGTACAGCTTTCATTTCTGTCAATTCAGTTTTTGTGTTGCAGTGTGTCCTGGTGGATTTCTACTGTTAAGTAATGATGCCTGTGTAACATTGTTTGTTTCTTCCCTATTGCCTTAGATGTCACCTCACCTAGTAACACCATCAGAGATGTTCTTGCAAGTTTTATGAAAATGGGGCAGTAGATACCAGAGGGACAATGTTCCTTCTTTCTCCTGCAGGGGATGGCCAGAATAGCTCATGAGATGTGGCAGGCTCATTAATGAGTGTACGCAGAGCTCATCAAAGCCCCTTTCCTACTATATGAGTTATATTTGTATGTTGCTGCTGATACATCTTCTGTATGGATGCGAAGTAAATCACCACAGCGTTACACTGCCTTGCAGTAAATTATAAAGAAAGATAGAAACTCTGCCCAGAGAAACTGCTGAACACCAGGAAAAGAATTTACATCATATTTACTAAATTCTGCTGTAAAGATGAGGGCCTTAAAGAGCTACCACCAAGCTGAGAGTCAGGCAACAAAAAAGGAATCTTAAGATTTTTAGGCCATAAAGATATGTTACTTAAGAGCATCAAGTATCCCTTGTGTCAAGTCCCGTGGCAGTTGTTAAAAAATGTGGGGTTTTTTTTCAGTTAGATTTATTCTCAGTATGGTGGCTGTTTATCTCTCTTGTATGCTAACAGGCTTTTGGAAAAACTCGTTCAAAAGGAGAAGGAGTATCAGACACTCTTACAACGATCTTTGGAGCAAAAAACGCAGGAACTGCACTTGCTTCAATTAAGACTTAAACCCGGAGGTATGAGAAGATACTGAGTGAGTGCTTTGACAGTATGTATGTCCAAGTTCATGGGTTTGGTTAAAGCGTGATTTGGAGCTTGTATTTGAAGCTTAGTTTCAAAACGACCACTTTTTTCCTAGTTTTGAGGTGTAATGACTTCTTATTATTTTTTCTGTTAAAGACTGGCAGTGGCCTGCATCAGCTTTAAAAGAGAATGCAGACCCAGAGCTCACAAACTGGCTGAAACAACAAGGTGCAGATCCGGATACCATTAGAAGGGTAAATATATGTACATACCTTTAAAAAAAAAAAAAAAAAAAAAAAAAAAGTCAGCCCTTATTAGCAGTTGGGTTTCAAAGGAGGAATACTTATTTACTTAAGAACAAATTTCCCTTTCAGTTTGCTGAAGAGGATTATACACTGAGTACTGTCCTTAATGACATCACTAAGGATGATTTGCGATGCCTTCAACTGCGGTAAGGAACTACATCTTAGGTCACTGCTGAGAGCTTAATTAATAAGAAAGGGGGGGAGGGGTAGATGTTATGATATTCTTATAGGCCTATTAATTCACTCTGGTCTTCTGTTAACGTATGAACACTGACTGCCACACTATAACAACATAACATAAACTATACAGTAAGTTATAACATGCCCTCAAACTTTTTGTATTTACCACAACTGAGGACTGTTTCTCTGCCATTCAGCACCAAATGGTCATACAGGCACGAGGAATTTACTTATCTTTTCTCCCTGTTTCATTGTCATTCTTAATCTCTGGCTGATGTGGAAGAAATTGTTTGGCCATAAGCTTGAACAGCCCCAGTTCCTTCAGTCTCTCCTCATAGGGTGTATTCTCCAAGCCCTTCACAAGCCTTGTTGCCCTTCTTTGGTCCTGCTCCAGCACCTCTATGTCCCTTCTGTACTGAGGTGCCCAAAACCAAACACAGTGCTCGAGGCGAGGCCTCACCAGTGCCGAGTACAGGGCCAGGATGACTTCCCTAGTCCTGCTCACCACACCACTCCTGATACAAGCCAGGATGCCATTGGCCTTCTTGGCCACCTGGGCACACTGCTGGCTCATATTCAGCCGACTGCCCATCAGTACACCAAGGTCCCTTTCCATCAGGCAGCTTTCCAGCCACTTCAGAGTTTACTTCTTGCACACTTTCAAGTAATGGAGAGGATGGTTTTTCCCTAACCAGTTACTGCTGTCCCTAATTGTTCTCTATTCTTCTTGAGACAGTGGCGGACTTCTCTGCAGAATTTGGAATGCAATATTAACCCACCGACAAACGCCTGCTAAGTCCATGGAGGCAGAAGGATAGCTCTCTGGAAACAGATGTGTAATGGGAGTAAGCAAATGAAAGATAGATACATTCCTAAATTATTGGATGTATATATGTACGTAGTCTCCCTGCTTTGCAGGTTTTGCACAATTACGTAGCTCTTTGACCATCAGCATAATACACAGTAAGTAGTAACAGCTTATGGAAGAGTAGCACAGAAGACAAATGCCCTATCACTGTAAATATAAAGCCTTAGCTGAGACAGAGTTGATTTTCTTCATAGTGTCTGGTACGATGCTAAGGTTTGGCTCTAGGAGAAAAACAATGTTGATAACAGACCAATGTTTTAGTTGTATCTGAGCAGTGCTGCCTCGATCTGAGGACATTTTGGTTTTTTAGCTTCTTGTACTGTCCTAATAGAGAAGTGGCTGAGGGGAATAGAGGGAGCTGGGAGGGGTAGAATGAAGACTGTACCAGGCACCTGAATTGGCTTTAGCATTGTGCACACTGAACTTAGAATGGGTGACAGGTGTGCTGGCTGATGGTTTAAGCAGGAAGGGGTTAAGCTGTAGTGTATGTCACTTCTTCCTCTACAACTGTACAAAGCTTTGTGTATGAAAGCTACTCTCAGTGAGCAACTAAGCAAAGCCTGCATGATGGTTTTGATTTGTAATTTGGCTCCAGTAAAAACGTGGCAAACTTATTTATTTTCTTTATCAACTGCTTCAAAAAAAAAAAAAAAAAAAGCAGGAAACCAGATTAAATGTTGTTAAAGTTTAATTTTATTTCTTTTTATTTTTACACTGTACATGACAAATACAGCAATCCAAAGAAAACCTGTGAAGCAAATATATAGCAATTTAAATAAACTGCTGCTTTCTCATTGTTCAGCTCCTTCTGCAACAACATTCAGGCATGTTTAAAACAATCTGTACTGTGAGGGGACTGCCTCACTCAACACCTCTTCTTTTGAAAGAGGAGGTGTTAAATAAAGATTAAGGTTTCTGAGTCATTACAGTTCTTGTAAATGCACTCACTCTTACGAATGGCTGAGAGACTTATACTTTATCCACTGGTTGGGACCACGCACTTCAAAGGGCGGCTCATTGAAGTAAATGTGGTTACCGAGTTCTTCCAGTGGGGGCTCTGGGTCAGTGGTAGCAAACTGAGCAGCTTCCTCTATCTCTTTTCTCACTGCCACATCGATTTCCTAAACAAAGAAACGCTAATTAGAAGACATCTCAGAAAAAGCATCAATATACTGAATTTAAAAGTGATGATGAAACATTGATCAGACCTAGTATTAAAGCTGCCTATAAAAAATTAGAGAACTGTAAGTTTCCTCCCTTCTAAAGCGAAGAACAGTACCGTTAATTATCCCAGAGGAACAAGACCACAATGAGCATCTTAGTTTTTGCATTCTCTTTCTGCAAAGCAATGCAAGTATACAGAGAAATGTGACTGAAACCCTGCAGGTCAGGCATAAACCCGCCCAACTTCTGATGCACGGACCTTTACAAGCTCCAAGGAGATCTCAATAGCAGAATAATCAGGATATTTACACCACTTGCTTAGGGAGCTTCTGGCTCCTTCACTAAGATTCTTTACTACCACTGACCAGTGCCGATGTCAGACTCAAAGTTCAGAGGCTTACCTGCTTTCTAGCTCATGTGGACAATTTTGTTTTCTTAGATGCCAGCGTGAAAAGAGATGTATTTGAAACGCTAATGCTCACAAACCTTGCACTGAGTTACACTCAGCACCCAAAAGCAAAAAGCAGTTCCTGCACAGCACAACTGCATTAGCTAGTGTGCAACAAAATTTTATTATCAATCACCAAAAAGTTACATCCTAATAAAAAGGCTCAAAGAACAAGCGAATAAGTAGGAGATAAATAGTACATGAATGTAAAGAGCTTACTTAAACATTTACTAAAAGCCATACCTTTAATTCTTCAACGCTAGCAAGGTTATTGTTGATCATTCTGTCCTTCAGCAAAGTAATGGGATCGCTTTTGCTTCTCACTTCTTGAATTTCTTCTCTAGTGCGATAGCTAGGAGGAACACAAGCAAACATGAACTTCAATAATTCTCTTGAATCAAAGTGATGATGCAGCTCATTTTTAGAGAAAAGGTGTCAGGAATGCAATGAAAATACAGCAGTATTCATTATCCAAAGTACAGCATGGCTACATTCAGAAGACTTCTTAGATTTGAAAGTGGAAACTGAAATAGATCCAGACTTAAATATGATATGGGCAGGAGAAGGAAAGCTGCTGTAGCTGAGATGGCTACTATGAAGCTGTATTTCTCCCTCCCTATCTCTACTAACGGAAAGAGCACTGGGGGCTCTATGACTTGCTCTGTGCTATTAGACTGGGTCACAGAACTTACAGAGGGATACGTTTAACGAACTCAATCAAAACTTCCAATTCACTACAGGTTTCCAATGAAGTGTTAAGGTATATGACTACTTCATGTAATCGGTCTGAATTTGTTGCATGGTTCAAGGCCCTAGGCTTTTTGGCACCTGTATGCTTGTGCTGCTTAAGAAGCAAAGTGTTCCATTTGACTGGACACTGCAGCTGTTCCTTTACTTTTAGCTTATAGGATTTTTATATACTCCAAAAACCCTGGAAAAGTGCACTGCTTTTCAGTCAAAGCTGTCTTGGAATATGCCACAAAGTCATACAGAATGCAGAATTCATTAATAAAAGGTACAGAAATTGAGCAGATATTGCTTGTTCTGAAAACTCCATTTCTTAATACTGAAAATAAAATAAGGGCTGAGTGGTCAGACTTGTCACAGTGATTTTATCATAACCTTCATGCATTTCATGCAGTGTCGGGATTTTGACCATCAATACTTCATTGTTTTCAGTGAATGCTAACACAGGGTTTCCATGTTACCTTATGCCAGGATCACTCATACTGTGGCCATGATAACGATATGTCTGCAACTCCATCACAATAGGACCCTTAAAAAGAAAGAACATACAGAGAGCAGTAGCACCTTGAGCAATCCATTTGTGTTATAGCACTATTTGCTACAGGTGAATTGTTTGAATTGTACAACTGACAAATGTTTTTAATTCAACTTTCTCTCTTAGTTTAATCAGTTCACCTATCATTATCACAAGCAGCAAAAGAAAACTCCTCTTAAATGAAGAAGTATGTTGATAACTACTAGCATTTACTTTCACGTCCTTATTGAGCATTGTTAAGCAATCTGGTCCCTTCCAATGCCTTTCCACCATTACCCAGAGTATTTCAAATTGCTCATAATTTCACTTCAAGACTGCAACTCCCAGCAGCTTGTTCTTCTGCGCAAACTTCCTTCTGTGCATTCCAAGCACAAACATCATTTCACATAACATCAGATAAGTCAGAACAGTTTTATTCTTGGGTGACAGGCACTGATGCTGAAAAACCATTAAGGTTCCATACAGTTTTGTACGTATTTCTAGGCAGGTACATAAAAATCTCTCTCATTGCCATACATCTAGTCTCACAAAAAATCACTTTCCTTTTGTTGTAAGTGTAGAATTACTTTTTGTGCCCCTTCCAATAATAAATTTCTTCATAAAGAACAAAGCTGCCTAACAGTCAAAACACACAACAGAGTTTAAGAAGGGTTTCTAGGAAGGAGAAAGAAGTTCACAAGGTCTCAAGATTCTTTTTTTTCTTAAAGCTTGACTGAATACCAACTGCGTGTTAACAACTCTAACAAAATTAAAGAACGACTTAATTACTAGTAGATTCCTTACTCTGGAGAAACAGAGGAAATAAGGTCAAACAAACAATTCTACAGTAACTGCAGAAAGCTAGGCTAACTTGGGGAATGTTTTATGCATCAATTATTGCTGAAAGTTTCACCTATGGTAAAGGAATGGCTACCGACTTACTTTTCCAGCTCTGCAGTACTCAGCTGCAAACTTGGCTGCTTCTCGAACACAGAGAACGTCCATGCCATCCACCTGATGCACAGCACAAGTCAAAAAGAGACCGGAAAACAAACTTTCAAATTCAGTACCTTCATATCACAGATGCAATAGGAACTCAATCTTAAATTTCCTATTTTTAAAAATATTTATAAATGTATTTATAGGTAGAAATACACAGGCATGTATGTATTGCACACACATGCCTCAAAGCACGCTGGAGCTGTACTCACTCTAAGCCCTGGGATGAAGTCTCCTCTTTTGTAGTAGTCAGTACTGGCTGCAGCTCTTTCAACTGAGGTTCCCATTCCATACCGATTGTTCTCACAGATGAAAATACAAGGCAGCTTCCACAAGGCTGCCATATTGTATGTTTCAAATATCTGGCCCTGAAAGAAAAGGAGCAAGTTCTGTCTGGATGGGGAGCTCACATTTCAAGCAGTAGGCTCTACTGAAAAATCATTCAGCTACAGCTAGCAAAACTTTTGATACCAGAAGTGATCTGAAACTAGCCCCTTGCTGCAGCTCAGCAGCAATAAAAGAGAAGTTATATTATAAAAGTAACTTTTATCTCCACTCATAATTCATAGAATTTCTTAAGTTTTAACCCATTTCAGTCTCTGTGTTAGAGCAGCACAAAACGCAGAATGATCTGAGTTGGAAGGGACCCTTGAATGCCATGTGTTTTGAAGGTGGGAAGGTAAAAATCAACAGTGCACTCTACATCACTTTTTTCCATCTGGCTTTATTTCTCTGCCAGTAAAACAAAGATAATTGTCTCAATATAAGAGGTTCAGCAAGATGCACTGGTATCACCAGACTCATTTTTTCAAACCATCATTACAACAGATTCAAAGCCAGATGCTGTCTGGGTTGCAGACACTAGACAGACAGGGGAAGGTGCTCCTCTACCCAGCAGAAAGGCAGAGCTCTCAGTTCACAGAAGGAAAACCAACTGCCCACACTCACAGAGCTACCTTAGACAGCTTGTTTACCTGGTTGGCTGCACCATCCCCATATAAAGTCAGGCAGACCTCATTTTTGCCAAAGTATTTGCAGGCCAGCGCAATCCCAGCTCCAAGAGGAACCTGTCACAGTACAGGACATACCACAATTTTAGAACAATCAGAGAACACTTAGAGAATGTTGGAGACAAGTTGCTTGTGAAATGTGAAGACACTTCCGATATCAGGGACGTGCTCAACAGATACAAGAGTAGTAACAAATGGAAATGGGTTGGTAACAATCTGTCTAGCAGCCAGAATAGTTTGTAGCTATATTCTTGGCTGGATGCAGATTGCAAAGCTGTCAGCAGGCCAGAATAACAACAGATTTAGCAGCCACAAAGTAATAGTAGCTGCATACAAGTTCACATCATGAAAATTGAGAAGAAACGCTAGAACAGGACACCAGCCAAATTGAACTTTTAAAGCAGAAGTCATGTATATACCTGAGCACCGACAATACCATTACCACCATAGAAGTTTTTGGTATACATATGCATTGATCCTCCTTTTCCCTTCACACATCCTCCTTTACGACCTGAAACATGAACAAGTGATTTCTTTTTTCAGAAGAAAAATGCTATATAAGTGGTAACAGTTAATTCAACTCCTAAAGGTAATAATACTGAGGCAATGTTACTGTTGTCATGAGATGGATCTCAAGAGAGTTGAGATGCTGATTCTCATCAGACATAAAGACCTCTCCTCACAGAACTTATAGTTAATGTATCACCAAACAAATAAAAGAAGCCAGGGGGAAGAATGCTAATGAAAACATCACTTGAGAAATACAGAATAAGATGTATTCATTAATTTTATTCCCTACTTTACTATAGAGTGCTTTCGTATTTTTCAGAACACTCATCTCAGGTGGCTGTCTATTTAAAATAGCCAGTATGGTCTACATTTCTCATATATCTAATCCATGGCACTTTAACAAGAACTGCAAGAAGTATCTACAGTCCTTTTACTTTAGCTTCTGCAAGAAAAATATGAACACTGTTCCAAGTTAATTGCAGTAATCTACACTTGTCCTCCCCGTAACAACAGCCAGAAGCAGAAGTTACAGACAGGACAAAGAATCAAACACAATACCTCAACAAAAACCCACAACTCCCTCCCTGCCTCCAGATCAACCTTGAATACCTAGCCCAGCATTGTTCAAGCTGTCGTTTGCCCTTTTCCTTCCTAACACAAGTACCTCCTCCCATCCACACAGTCAAGCTATTCTTCGATCCTCTCCATCCACTCCAGTCCCCCAAGTTAAACCTCCCAACTAGAAAGTTTGAGAAATGCCCATCTAGCCATCCCCTCCTCCAGTGCTGCATGAATCTGTATTTGGGCATTTGCATTTGTTAGCTGCCTAACCAGTTACCAAAAACCATAAGAATACTGTTCTCTGCTATAGCAGAGATCATGCAGATGCTAGGCACTGGGATTGTGCTCATACAATTATAATACATTTCAACTACGTTGAGATGTCAAAAAAACAATCTCTCAAGCCCCTAGCTCTTTTTCTGCTCAAGTAATGCTCAGCCAATTGGTATTTCACCCAGCTTGCTCCCTGTTTCTCAGGCCATTTCTCTCATTTTTCAGAATCACTTATCTAAGAGCACACAGCTCACCCCCAACACATACTATGCTGTCTTCCAGTCCAACATACACAATTCCTCCACGCCATTCCCCTAATTATGAATGGAACTATGCTGACAGCAGAAAGCCTCTTTAACTTTTTGCAGAATACATCCTTTTGTTTGGCAACAATTTTGGCAATTACATCAATTATGGTTTTCTAGTTACATTTCAGTTAAATTGCGATTTAGTTATTTCTTATACAAGGTCACAGCTAATAGCATCAAAAGATTTAATAACAAGTAATTGAACTGATATCTACATGTTTTTTTCCTCTGCCTATTATCACAGAATGGCCTGGGTTGAAAAGGACCACAATGATTGTTCAACCCCCCTGCATATTTGCAGGGTCACCACCAGACCACGCTGCCCAGAGCCACATCCAACCTTAGCCCTGACACCTCTCCGAAAATTGGACAGGACTAACATAATGTACTCTGGCAAATTATCTCGGTTCCTACGTTTCATCTTTTAGGTACTAAAGGCATTCTCAGCATAGTTTGTCTTTCCACCACTCCAACCAAACTACAACCAACAGGTTTATTTCTCCCCGTATCTTCTCTCCACTGCCTTTCTTAAAATATAAATGTAAATACAATACTTTCAGATCCAACAGTAATTTTAATTACATACATTCTACCTAAATCACATTTTGAGCTACAAGAAGTAGCAGCACTTAAACCTTGTTACTTTAATGAGGCAGCTACTTTTTATTACAGAACACAAACCATAAGCAATGTTTATTCTGCCGTGTTGCTACATTGCTTCTGGATCCCTGGTATGCTTTTTGTGCATCAACAACACTTTGAAGTTTAGTAAAAACAATCCTGAGGCCAGTACCTAGCACAGGAACCTGCATTTCATTTAGCACAAACCTGTAAGTTCAGCGAGAATTTCTCGAACGGGGACGCCTCGGGCATAAGTAAATCCGTGAGCTCTGTATGCTGTTATCACGTGGTCTGTAGGCTTTATGGCAGCTTCAAGCCCTACGCAGCAAGCCTCCTGTCACCAATGGAAAGCAAGTTCAGCAATGAAGAGGAAGCACACCATTTCCACAGGCTGCAGCGTGGCACGGTCTGTTTGTGGTCCCCCATACAAGAAATAAAGCAGGAAAGAGGAAAAGCACAGACAACAGCAGAGTGCCTTACATCCCAAGGAGGAATAGGCCTGTCTGTAGAATCTGGAGCTACAGTAGCCTTGGGCTCTATATTCCAACCTGTCTTGTGTGCAAGTAAGAAAATTAGGGAAGAAGAAAAAATGAGAAGGTAAAAAGACCTGCAGATTTCTTCTATGCTCATCTCCCAGATGAAGTATCTAAGTAACTACAGTTCAATTCACCAACTTCATTAAGTTCCTTCTCCTGACTGTTGCTTTTTAGTGGATGTAGGATCTGTGAGACGCTGGAAGAAAACTTATCAGTGGGGCTTGATAATGAGGATGTGAGCTTCCAAATGCACTTAATTGAGTATGCTACAATAGCTTATTCCCACATTCAGCTGAACTGCAGCTGCACCTTGCCTTCTCTCCCTCCCTATTGCTGTCCCAAGAAATCAGGGATCCCTTTGTGTGCTCTGACATTGCTCGTAAGGAAATAATGACCCAAATCGCAGACCTGCTATGACTTCAGACATCATGCATAGATCCTGAGTTCTAGATTTACTACCTCATCTATTTCAGAAGCCTAAATTAAATAGGGCAAGACAGTATACAGATGTCTTGGGAGAAGAGTCTCACCTGACCATCATATAAGTGACAGAAGCCACGAATAATCTTCTGCTTGTAAAGCTGGTCAGACTTCAGCTCCATGCGCCGTATGATCTGCATTGTCTTGTAGTAATGAAGCCCCTCCTCTCGTGTCAGCAGTGCAGTGGTAGGAGGGCCTTCTTCCAGGCGATGGAGGTCACACGGCTGTGAAGTTGAACAAGCAGTTACTTCTTGACACTCATCAATCCTGTTTATCAACAGCACTTTTTTAAAATGACACGTCAGTTTCAAACTCAAGTACTAGTGCCATTTGAAAAAAGCAAACCCCAACACAGACAACACAGCTTCTCTCTCAAACCGTGAGCTACGCCAAGTTGCAAGAAGGGCTGATTTTAAGTACCCCTACCAAAAAAATAAGTCTTACACATTCAGTGCAGCGAACCAAACACATTGCTCTGCCAGTGCACTAGTGCACCACAATTCTGCTTCATAGCCTACATGGCATCTTCTATTAGAGCAAGTCTCTCCACAGCAAATCTACTGATGCCCTAAGGAATTTGATACAACACACCTGCACATGACTTCAGTTTGAATTAACACAGTAACATGACTACATGCATCCAAGCACTCTATTTCCAACTCCATGTAGAAATCAGAGCAGATAGCAAGGGGTTTGGTTCTGAAAATCCATGTAGCACTTTTGTAACTGACATGGTAAGGGGTGAGCTCCATCACGTCAGGATCTACAGCGCTGCTTCCGCAGAATACGAGTATTAAGCATTCAGCTTCTTTACCTTAATTTCAAACGTAGCTTCGTTTGCAAAGTCAGCATAGTTACGTGATGCTACCATCACTCGAGAGGCCTTAGAAAGAAAAATAAAATGTGAGCAATACTGACATATAATTACCAGGCAGTAATAGATAAAGTCTCAAATCATTTCTAACAGTACGCAGACACTGAAATACTCCGTGACTGAAACTTTCCAGTGGCAGATCCTTATAATATCAGAGAACTTGGATTTTGAACGCATCCACTAGAACTCCTTCAAAACCCAGTATTTAAGATTAGAAAAAGAAAACAGAATTTTAATTTTTTAATACCCTTGATGAACTAAATAAAACAAGTAACTTGAGAAGACTATAAAAAGGACTAACATTGTAAAAAAATTTTTTCCTTCACCTGATAGATCTCTTACACGAGGAATGACACAGCCAATTAAGATGGCTCTTCACACTGACTGCAATTTCACCTTGACAAAAAACTTCCCTGGGAGAAAAAACACAACCCAACACAACAGACTTCTGGAACGTCAACTATATCTTTCCTTTTAAGGGAAGAGAAGATGGAAGGATGCAAGTAATAATAATAAAGACAGAGAGTATTATTTAAGCAGGTAGCAGCACAGCTACCCAAGGGTGCATGAAATACAGAGCTACAAAGCTGACACAGTAGGAGAGAGACAAGATGTTTGAAGATACGTTACTGTTCTGTCTAAAACAATGTGCACAGTCTATTAACTAACAGCTGGTACTCTTAAATAACTTCAGTATGTGGTAGTTGCCTGTCCATGCAACAGTGGCCACAGTGTGAGGAATCCACTTGATTTTCAGCAGCAAAGTTGTATTGCTAATTGTCACACATACATTTCAGAAGATCATTCAACCATGGAACTTGCATACGCTCAAAGTTTTTAAACTTTGAGACTACCCAGTGCTGTCTCCAACAAAGCTGTGATTGATGCATGTGACACTGCGACAAATGCAAGGAGAAATTTCTCAATGCTTGTTGGTTGTCTCCTGTTGGCCATTTAATTTGGCTGTCATGACCTCACAAGCCCCCACGTTATCAGATTAAATATTTGGAGTTCTTAATTTAAACCAGGTTTCTACACTGTTTACCACGATGCAACAGTATTACCAGTGATAAAAAGCTATTTTAGTTCTAGAGCTGGAAGTCAGTCATGAGTCTGGGATTCACAGAACCAGCAAATTGCTGAAGTTGGAAAGGACTTCTGCAGGTCAGCCTGGTCCAAGCTCCAGACCTGAACAGAAGCACTGCTGGAGAATCTCTACAGAAATTCTTAAATACATGGCCAGTACACAACAGAAGAAACAAATATGAAAACCCTTGACAAAACTGGTTCAGCTCTTACCTCACTAACAGCTCCCTAGGTTAGCAGCATTTGGAAGGAGGAAAAAAAAAAAACAAAGGAAAAAAAAAGAAGTGTGAGTAACTGCAACAAACAACTTGGGGAGGAGAATCAGCAAATTATTAGCTAACTGGAACACTGAGAAAAGTAGTTTCCCTTTAGGCAAGCTTTGAGTCATGGAAACCCATCTTTACGCTTTACAAAATGATCAGAGTAGTAATAATGCCTTATTGGTTAAAACTGCTTCAGTTTATTTGGTGATTTGTAAATGCCTACGCATTTACAAATAGTTAATAATTGGCAGTCAATAGGATCCCAAAAGCCATACTAAGATATCCAAAATGGAGCTGGTTTGAACTTCTGGAAAACACTGTATGTCAGGAGCAGGCCAAGTACATGGAGAAAGGAACACATTTTTGGCACCCAAACCTGAAAATTTTAATACAGACATTTTACTTGTAAATTAGAAAATGCTTTTAGATCTATGTTCCATGTAGTCCCAATACACACAGCAAGGCCTCCTGGTGACCCTGCTCTGACTGCTAGGCAAGAGAGCTACCCCAGCACTGAAGCAGGGCAACAGGTTTGCTCTCAAGGACAGAAAGACAACTGGCCTTCAGCTGACAAAAGATACGCTTTAACGCTGTCAGAAAACTCCCATTCTTCTCCAGTGTTTATATATTTTCCAGCTGGCATGTTTTTTTCCTTGCAGGGAGTCATTACAATGGAATAAGGAGAATGAAAAGGGAAAATTCTAAAGATGTTTCATATGGGAGAGAAAACACAACATATTAAACGTGGAGGTAATTTTTAAAACCCCACAACTTGAAAGAATACTCAGGAAAAGATTAAATGACTATTATTTGAGTGAGCAAAGGCAAAACACTTGTGGCAGGGGAGGTCTGGGTTAGATATTAGGAAAGACTTCTTTGAAAGAGCAGTGAGGCAGTGGCACAGGCTGCCCAGGGAGATGGTGGAGTCACCATCCCTGGAGGTGTTCAAGGACCGTGTGGATGTGGCACTGAGGGACGTGGGCAGTGGGCACGGTGTGACGGGTTGGGGGTTGGACTGGGTGATTTTAGAAGTCTTTTCCAGCCTTAATGATTCTGTGATTCACTTCAAAAAAAGTCACATGAATGTAGAGGGAAATAAGACGACCAAGTTTACCCTGATTGTGTTGACACTCAGAATATACCAATATAAAAATAAATGTAAGGCAAAAAGCCTGGAAAAAGGGTTTCAGAAATGGAACGATGCGTTTTAAACACGATAAATATGGATATCCGCACATTGTTTCCACATCGAAGGCCATGGAGGAGGCCCAGCCAGGCGTGGGCTGCAGCGCTGGTTGTGCACTTCCCGCACTCCAGCAGCAGGCACCACACCAAGGGGGCTGGGTATTTACAGCGTGCTCTCGCACGCAGCGCTTTTTTTTTTTTAAACACAGCAGTTAAAATAGCACGGGAAGAAAAACAAACAGAGATAACTCTTCAAGTACGATTTTTGCCACCGGCACCACGCGACGTTCTCGGCTGTGCGAGTGACGGAGCCCTGGTGCAGGCTTCCCAGAGAGGCCGTGGAGTCTCCTCTGGAGATATTCCCGCCCGGCTCGGGAAAGGCAGGAAAGCCCCCCTTCAGGGGGGGCTTCAGGGCTTGGGCTGGGTCACCTCCACGGGTCCCTCCCACCTTCCGGCTCCGTGATGCCGTTAACCCCTACACCTGGGCTGCCACTGAAGCACTGCAGCACCGCGCGTGCCCCGTGCGGCCCAAAGGCCGCGCTGCTAACGGCCGCCCCCGCCGTCCCACTGAGGCGGCGCGCACCCCCCCCGCCCTCCGCGCCCGTCGTCCCCAACCCCCTCCCAACCCCGGCAGCTGCCGGCCCCTCTCACCGTCCTGCCGGCGGCGGCGGCCGGACCCTGCAGCACGCGGGAGAGAGCGGCCAGCAGCATCTTGCGCATGGAGCGGGGAGGGGCGACGACTCTGGAGGGGGTCCCGTCCTCGAGTCTCCTTCAATCGCCCGCCGAACCCGCCCCGGCTGCCAACCGCACCGTCCGCCCTACGGCCAACCAAAGTGACGGAACCAGATGACGCACAGTCCCAGCGCCGGGCCGACCGACGCCTCGCTCTGCGTTCCGCCTCCGCCATGCGCATGCTCGGGGGCTCGCGGGCGGTGCCGTCGGGCTGGAGGCAGTGTCTTCCTGCTTAGAAGCTGTGAGCGCTGCCGTTGGGGAGGTAGGCGGGTCTGGGGTGTGATGTTAGAGATGGCCCAGCTCCCCGGCAGCGGGAGCCGTGCGTTTCTTCTGGTAGCAGTAAGAGGGCTCTGGGCAGCCTGGTCTGGTGGTTGGCGACCCTGCACATAGCAGGGGGTTGAAACTCCATGATCTTTGAGGTCGTCTTCAATCTAGGCCATTCTATGATTCTAGGCAGCAATACCTCTGTGTAAGCCATCCCCTTCACGCCCACCTTGCACCCCTACTGATGCATATTTCTTCAGCGCCTCATTTGGAAAACTGGCCCCTGCTCACAGCTGGAGGGATGTGCCACATCCCTGCCATACGTGATCAAACGAGAACTCACAACTTCTGTCTGTGGTTTTATTGTTCCTTAGATGAGGCTCATCTATTTCTGCTAAAAAGAGCCAAGCGTATCGGTCTCTGTCTGCAAGATTTAAAGCATGCAGTTATCTCACATGTTACAACTTCAAAAGGCAACCCTATGAAGTAAAGGTTTTAGGAGACCTGTGAACAGTTGTTAACTATAAGCATGGTCCTGATCAACAAAAAAAAAATCCCACATTGTTATTATTAAAAACAATGCTGTCAAGCTTATTCCAAGTCCAGTGTTATCCACCTATTCACATGAAATAAAAAGTGTAGCAGTTTTTATTCTTACACACTTACAGACTGGTGTGTTATCAACATCTCTAATGATCATAAAAAGTGGTTATTTTTGATGGGAAAGGATCCATTTTTGTCTCCCCTTTATTATGTTCTTGTGACATTTTTACTTTTCATGCTATTTCATCAATGTTTGCGTGTTTTCTTCATTAAAAGCTATTACAGCATCCTGAAATAATTAAATCCTCCCCTCCCCAAAAAGCAACAGATAAAACGAATTCATGAATGAGGTAAACAATGAAAAGGAAAACATAATAAAATCATAAGCAGAGAATGCCAACAGAAAATTTATTTGATAAAGATGATTATGTAGTATTTCATAATGGAGCACCTTGCCATGTGTGACTCTATTGTTACCACACTGAGGGCGTGTTGTGTGACAGGAGGCCAAAACTCAGTCTTTTCTGTCATCCTGGGTGTGATCCTGAAATGTTATCATTCTTCTGGATTGCAGCTGCTGTTACAAATGTCTGCTGTCGTGTTAGAGATCTGCGGGAACATCCAGCACTTGGGCCTTATCCCAGCTCACCATGTGACTAAATCCAGCAGTAATCTCTGCTTCATTTAATGAGTCTGAGGTTCGCTGCCTGGTTTTTATTCTTTATGTGCCACCAGAGATCCAGCTCATGGAAGAAAGCAGAACAGGGGAGTGACCCGTGGCTGCCAGCATGGCTACTGCACTGACACTACTTAAGGCTACTGTCATCTGGGCGGACATCTGCGCTGCAATGCTTGCCCAGACCTCCAGTACGGCACCGCCATATAGTGGTTTTTATAGCAACGATTCTTTGTGTTTATTTATTTTCTAGCTGTAGAAAGCCCTGTTCACTGAAGGGGAGTTGGACTAGATGTCCTTCAAGGGTCCCTTCCAGCACAAACTGGGAAAGAAGGCAGCACAGCCTTATCCATGCTGCTCATGGGGAGCAGGCACCAGAGCTGTGCCCTGGCGTCTTCCCAGGGGAAAGTGGCCAGGTAGCTCCAAAAGAGCACACAAATGGAGGAACATATTGAAATGTGAGCAACAGAGGACCAACACCTGTGAACAAACTGAAGAATGAAGCCATCAAACAGAACAGATGTAGTCTTTGTTCATTTTCTCTCTTCAGAATCTGAATGGGCAGCTTTCACTCCATTTGCATCCTCTAGTTTAATTATAATTGTTTAAAATTGCTTAGCAGGAACCATCCTTCTTCAGTTACTATTCCTTCTTCTAAGTTTTCATTTCTGTTTGTTGGTTGTTTTTTTTTTATTATTTTTTTTTATTGTTCCACTTTTCTTCATACCCTCCTCCATCTCATTTGATGCTTCTGCCCAGCATTTCTTTTGTTGCTGTTCCTCTCTTTCTCTTCTCAGGGCCACACTGCTTCTCTGCATGCCTTAACAAAAAAACCCTCTCTTTTTTGCTGTTTTGACTCCCACCCCTCTTGATTAATTTCCTTTCTGCTCTATGCTTTCTAGTAATTCCAGCATTAGGCAGCAACACTGCTCCCAACTTTTAATACTGAGACGTGCAATCTGATGGGGAAAAAAGAAATTAATTACATTGTCAAAATCCTTCAGATGATTTGTTTTATTTGGAGTTGCTGGAGTTTGGAAGAACAGTAGTTTTCATGGATCTTCCAGATGTTTTGCTTCTGGTGATGACAGAAAAATGGATTAAGAAACTATGATTTCTGTTTGCTGTTCTAATTGCTTCACTGCATCATTATTCACTGCATCATCATTAAAGATATTATTTTATTTCTCTTCTATGAGTTATTTATCCTTTCATGCCATTCCTCTCCATGCTTCCTACTGTTTTATGTATTCTTTTGAATCCCCAAATTAATCACTCTTAAAATACACTGAGAAGCACTGCTGTAGAAAAGGCTGTCATCATTTGTACAGTAAACTCCTGGGAGAAAAGATGGTATTTTATGCCAGTGGGTATGCCCAACTTCTATAGAATTATTTGAACATAACCTTGGTCAATTTGAAAACTCTCAAAATATGATGTCCATGATGCAATTCAATTCTGTGTTTTAAAATCATACATGTCTAAGGTAAATATATTACAGAATCATAGAGTGAGGAAGGGACCTCAAAGCCCACCCATCCCAGCCCCTGCTGTGGGCAGGGTTGCCCCCCACCAGCTCAGGCTGACCAGGGCCCCATCCAACCTTGCCTGGAGTACCTTCAGGGATGTGAATCTAGGACTTGCTGCAAAGTTCAAACCTCTCTCGATGTTATTCCTCCCCAGGATTAAATGGGAGCATTGTTATTTCCTTATCTCTGCTAACAGCAAGAAAATTGAAAAGTTCTGGCATAAGGAAAGGTGTTGTCAGAATCTTTTACCAGCAAAATTGTGGATGATTACTCTTTCAATACAATTTTTTTTTTTATATGTTTCTAACCTAAAACTAATATCTGAAGGCACAAACAAGAGTATCTGTAAACACATTAAAAGTTCATTATTCTTCTCTCTTTATTCTTGGCTAAAACTTCTGCTGAAGCATCATACCCAGTTTGGAATAAAATAGACGCTTTGAATAAGGATATGAGCTCACTGGAGAAAACCTGGATGAGGAGAATGAAAATGAAATGGTTTTCTGAAAAAGAAGATCACATCAATGATGACACGCATCATTAAAGAATGGATACTGCATCATCTGAACTAAATTTTGAGAAGAATTGGTTCTTCAATTGTCATACAGAAGGAAAACACTGTGAAGAGGATGAGAATTGACGTCCAAATCTAACAACAAGGTGGCTGGAATATGCAAGCTAACCGAAGGGCTAGTGAGGAGCTGGGCTTGGCCTTCTTGCCACTGTACATTTCTGGGAAATAAGCATCTGTCAGGAATGGTCTACCTACCGTTAATTTTTAAGACATTAATTAGATAATATTTTTGCCAGGTTTGTTGTCTGTGACATGGCATAAAGAAGTGACTTTGTTAATCAAGCTGCAGCTCCCCACACCCTGGCTACTTTCTGCCTCACTGACCTATCTGCACTGTAGCCTTCTAATTTGATTAAAACATGATGGATGAACATAAGGGAAAAAATGAAGGCATTCATAGAACAAGTGCCATAAGGTGGCACTGCAGTATAGGGTACAGGACAACCTGGCTTCCTATTTCCTACAAGCAGTAGCTAACAAAAACATACAGAGCATCGCAACAGTGACTCCAACCATTTCAGCAGTAAGGCACCGGAGGTTGCCTAGTTACCTGAGGAAGTAATATTAGGCTAATATTAAGGGAACAAACTGAAAATAAGCTTCTTTCATTAGAAAGGATGTGACCGTTTTGGTACTTCTCCCCAGTTGCATCCGGGCTGTTTGCTTCCTCTCCCAGAGCACAAGAAGTGGTGTTTTAATACCCTGAGTCTCTTTCCACTGCCTAGTCTTCTTCAGGGGAAGGACTCCCTGGTTTAAAATTCTGGAGTTTGTTCAGTTTTAATGAAGTTCCTAAACTGGAACGGAGCTAAATTTATACAACCCTCCCCACAACAAAGAAACACGGCTGTACTGGTTGCAAAGTTTTCTAAATGCCTTCAAAATCCAAGCTGCTTCTGTAGTATACAGTAAGGGTCAGCTACCATAAAAACGTTTGTTATCACACTGGTACGATCTGAAGACAGTTTGCACGAAGCCTGTTGGATCTGGCAACACCCAGTTAATTCTGATTCATCCTTCTCTTACTCTGGCTGAGTAACAATACAGTGCCACTTGTTTTAGCATGCATGCATTGGGATCCATCTACAGAAAACCTGGACATGCATATAATCATATGAGAAAATGCTTCACTTAGGAAATCAGATCAAAGAAGAAAGAGAATTAAGGATGTTCTTTAATTTGGTTTCCTGAGCTTTGATAATAACATACACCTTTTGGGAAAGACTCAGGAATAAAGCCCATTCTCTCTAATCCCACATGTTCAGAAATTCTTTTTTTTTTTTTTTTTAATTCATCATGACTAAAGGCATTCAAAATTATCCTCTGTTATGCAATTAAGACTGCTCCAAGGATGTAGAAATGGAAAGGGAAATGGGGAGTGAATGAAGTAAAAGTACAGATTTTCTCAAGGGTGGTTGGAAAGCATTTGAATACAGTAATTTGTTAAGGGAACTTTGTCTTTCACCAAGCTGCTGAATTTATTCTGGTAATCTGCATGTGATTTTCTGCATAAGCAGACCAAATTCTGAATTAT